CCAATTAGTGATATTCTCTTATATCATATTGTGCAAAAGCGACCTTATGAAGAAATTCTGAAACAGTTTCGTAAGCCATCTCATTCGAAAGGAATAGTATTTGTGTGTTTTATCGAGATACGTATGTCTAAAGTTGAAAAGGGCAACGGGATATCGCAGGCCATAAATTTATTTGTAAATTTACAAGAAGGATACAACGAAAGTCACTGTAGATTAATGGCCGAAATATCGATGTGTGACATGTGAAAATTTGTCTGCTCGGTATGAGTATCCCAGGAAATTCTGGAAGATATCCCATTTTACCTTACGCATGTCGAGTAATGGTGAGAGGAGAAGGCTAGAAAATCTAGTAGCTATGTCAGATACTTTTATCGGGCAGCGTTACTAATGGATTGATATCGTGTTCTGCCATTTGCCCATAAAGCGTTAGTATCGAATGGATATTCACGCGCACATTATTTTTATATCAAAGTAACTATGTGCGAGAATAAGATTTATGCCTTGTCAGCACTTGCAATATTTCGCACCAAAAAAATTACGTTGTCGAGACACTCCTCCCGTTTTAACTTAAAAAATAAATTACAAATAAAAAATCTATTTTTAATGTATATTAAATTTTTTAAGATTAAACATACCTACTTTTAATGTATTTTTCTTTTTAGAAGTATAAATACGAGTGATTATATGAGATATTCTACGGAATAGATTAATAAATTTACGGAATAAATTCTCCTTTTTCACCGTTATAGTTAATGGAAATCATCAGTCGCGGCAGTGCAGCGCATTGCTCGAAGGCAATAGACCCTCCGAAGCTGTGCCGTCGCTTCGTTACTTTTTTCATTCTTTGAAAACTCTCCCGTCGTCTTGAAATTTATCTCATGCTTGAAAGTTGCTCGACGCGACGGCGTCGGAGTTTTGAACCACTATCCATCTGTAATCTAAATCTTTTTAATGCGTTTCATCGATCCGCCTGGTCCGAAGTGGTTCACAGAGAACTTCAATTCTTTTCGTCGTATCATTCGTCTCAATTAACTTCCTCCCGGGATCGTAGCAGCATTAATTGGTTTGAAATCGTCCGCCGTAGTTCCGTAATTTTCTCTCTCTCTCTCACACATACACACACATTCTTTCTTTCGACAATAAAATGCTTTGATACAATAACGCAAAAATTTTACACATTGCCGGATGTAATTCAAACAGAATTAATACGAAAATGAAATATACGTTGCAACTCTAATTGTAAGTAGAAAAAAAGCAATATTATATGTCACATCTTAGTTTTTGTTGCTAATAAGTTATTATATAATTCATTTATATGCAAAGTACCTAATAAGTGTTAAACTACGTATATCATATATCATATCGCGTGAAAGTAACATGCGTCGTGAAGTTCAATTATAACGTCGACAATGTGATCGATCGATTGCAAGATTACATGCAACCGTTTTAATTCGTCTTGTCTGTAATTTTAGTAGATATCATTTCAAATGTGTCGTTTTATTCCTTCAAGATTATTTCTCAACTTCTTCAAAGTATAAACAATAATTTTTTGTATGCAACGTATATTTGATATATTATACATATAGTTTTATACATACTTGTGTAAAACATGCTATAAATATATATAATCTTTTTTAAGTTACATACGCACGCGCACCGCACACACACGCGCGCGCCTCTCTCTCTTTCTCTTTCTCTCTGTTTCTAATTCCATCTTTTCTATCCCGATCCAATGTTTAAACGAAGGATACGGCTTTACGGAAAAAAGGAAATGTCGGTTGCATTTCATTGGCCTCTAAGTAGAAAAGTCCATTAAAAGCATCCCCGATTTGCGTCCATGACTTGCGTTGGCGTTTACGTGGATGGCGCAACGTCACGACTGTGAAAGGAACGACCGCATTCGTTCCATTATATTTTTCATCATTTTGCGGAGCTTTACCAAAGTAAGTTTCCAATTGATCTGGACATTACTCACTGGCGCAAGCATAATTCCGATTGGGACAAGACAAACTCGTATTCATGTTTGGAAAAATTATACCAATTCCATGGGCAACCAAACAGTGATGATAATAAATAGAGAAACGTGATGAATAATCACAAAAGATAAATTAATGTATATTCTTTATAGTTAATCCAGTAAGTAAAACTCATAGATGCTATAACCACTTGCTGTTAGCGCATGATTGGTAGCAATCAAGGCTCGTTACGTCGAAATTTATCGTGTATAACACTGCGGAAACGTATCCTCATGTTTAATGCATAACAAGTATTCGCGGCGAATCTCTACCCCCCCCCCCTCTCTGTCCCGAAGTAATGATGATTCGTTTACTCACTGATAGAACGAGTATCGATCACACAAGATGATTAAGTATAAATCTAAATAAAAATGCTAGATCAACTTGCATATTTGCACCAAAATAAATGCAATCTTTAAGACAACCTAATTGAAAATAATTACACTTACTACCATAAACATATTTTTCTCTACGTAAAGAATGCTATAGAATATTCTGTTTAAAATACTTCCGCTCAAGCATACGCCAATACAAATTCTATTATTTTGTGCCCTTGTTTACGAAAGAAAATATTTGTTGTGCGGCGATAAAATATAGCGACTACTGGTAATTAATTATCAACCAACGACGAAAAACGATCTATCACCGTGAGTTCGTAATTACGATGAACTACGGTTATTTCGCGATTCTGAAAGAATTTACTTCAATAAATTGGGGTCCTTGGCTTTCACTGTAAAACTTTTTAACTGAAAGTGGTAAGTTTTAAAGAAGAAGTACCATTTTTAGAAGTAAGATTCAGCTTACACATTATACAAGATCGTATAATGATTTTCAATAAGCTTTCAAAATTTTGTAATAATTGTTTAATAGTGTTATTTGTTGGATACGTATGAATCAAATTGTATTAGAATCATTGTGATTTGTTAAGTAAAATGAAAAATTATGAAAGTATTTATTTGATATAAATATATACGTATAAATTTTATATATTCATTTTACATAAATCTATGTGTATTACATTAAATTATTATATCTTAATATTTTCTAAAGTTAAAATAATTAATTATTTCTGTATAAGTAAATAAATATGTCTTCTCTTTGATGTTGGTAGATTCTAGTAATATTATGATATAAAGTTAGTTTTATACGTCAAACAACTACACTGTAACGTGCACGTGACGTTATATGAACCGTTGCTCGTACAACTACAATTACTACTTACAATCTGCATTAACACGACGAACTCAATTTCGCCAGAAACTTTTTTCTTTTTTAGTATAAGGGAAAGAATAGTTTGGGGGAAGGGAGATATCAAGTCGATGGCATTACAAGGAGGCACTTTTAATCGAGTATCCTCTCGAAAGCACTCTGTGAATCGTTGAAAACTTTGACCAACTCGTATTGCGGATATTGCAAGCATACCCGGTACGTTACATCTATTCCCCCCCCCTCTCTATACATATACATCTGTGTACATAGAAATAGTATATACTATTTTACAACGCATTGAATGCAACAGTCTGCTTCAGAGATTATACGCTCAGAGGAGTACACCTGACTCTCCCTGTGAGAGAATGTGGAAAAGAACGACGGATAAAAATCTCGAGAGAGGAAAAAGATTTAGCCAATTTTATAGTTGTTACTTAACTGGTTTGTTTTAAGTTTTGAGACATTTAGAGATTTAGACATTTAGAACTGTTTGTAATCATGTATTATTGTAACAATATTGCCAAAGTTTTTGACGGGGCAGGACCTGCAAATTGGTCTTGCGCGATTGTGATAACATAAAACAATAATTATTCGACAATCGTTTATCATAGCATCGTGAGGATGTTGACGACGATTGTTGGCGAATGAATATCCGTGTGCTTTATAGCCAGATCGTTAGACCATCGTTTTCGTTTAAGATTTATGAAATACCTGGTAAACGGAGTCGGTGAAATAACGATCGCGTCCTCGCTCACTGTCGTCACAACTCTTCTTGCAATGCTCTCGAATTCCTGTGTCGCGGCATATTACGGTGCCCCGGCTGACGATGCTTTTAAATTTTATGAGCTCTTTCGTGCTTTTCTATGTCGCATTAACTGAACGTTTGTAAAACTGAGATATCTAATCATCATCACCCGCAACGTTTTTCAACTGGCGAGAACGATCATTCTCAAAACAAACTTTTAGTTTTCACGTTCTTTATCTTACATTACATTCGCGATAAAAATTATTATCGTAATAATAATTGTAATTGCATTACATTATACAGACACAATTCTTATTAACGTTGGTCAATGATCTAACGATAATTATGATACAACAAACTATTATCTAAGTTACATTACAAATCGGTTATACGATGATTAATTACGATCGCCGTACGCAAGGAACACGATACGAACATTTTATTGTTTGCACCTGATGGAATAAGAGATTTCTTCTTGACAGAGAATTGTCATTTGCAAACAAATCAACGCTCGTTGGACGCTAATTAAATACGACGGCTAATTGGATAAGTACGGTAAAACATGGTTCGCATTATATTCTTCGTCCTGTTGTGCTTTAGTTGCGCTATTATGGACCCAAGCACGCTGTATCCCCGTTGTTAATTCCCGCTCATAATTTATCGAGGAACTTAAATGAACTCTGGCGCACGTTGAAAAACTTGGGACACCCATTAGCCAAGTAATGTAGATTTATACAAGAGAAAAAGATAGAGAGAAAGAAAAGGAGAAAAGGGACAGAAGGAAGGGGGGAAAATTTGCTCTATCATGAAATATTAAAATCGCAAGTTATAGAAATATTTATTTAAAATAAAAGAAGATGTGATAGATAAATATATATCTACACACAAGGATTAAATGATAGGAGAAAACGACGAACAAAAAAGTAACGACTTAAAAAATATATGTATATATCGAGATGAGAAGAGATGCATGTTTTCGTGTCGCGTTTTACTATGCCGGAGAATAATATCTTGTTCTTTCTGTTTTTCAGCCGACAGCAGTTTTCTATTAGCAAATGCCCAGATCGTTGACTTCCCGATCGTCTATTGCAACGAGAGCTTCGTCAAGATCTCCGGTTACAATCGTGCCGAGGTACGAGTACGTTATTTGATATTACTGATATTCGATTTGTGCTTTTCTCAATCTTCTCATCTTCACTGATATCATCACGATAGCATTTGCGTATAATTGTATTTGCACGACATAATCGTACGATGCATGAAATGTACTTTACACATAAATTTCTATATTGTATTGATGATTATTAATTAACTAATTAGTTAGTTAATTATATCAAATGCCATAAGTTCATTTAATTTATTAGATTTTCATTCAGTAGATACATAATTTATTAGATACACGCACAAACACACCAATTGACTGCCAATTATTTGGACGTGGCTTATTCGAACATTGATTTCCTGCAACAGCTTGAACACTTTAATAGGAATACCATATAATAATTCACATATTGCAATTATATTGAAGTTACGTCATTTACTCGGTAAGTCGGTTGGTTTTGATACCGCGTATATATTTTTTGAAAAGCTTTGCGCGGATAATCGATAACAAGTGTATTACTGTTCCTCAGCTTAATTAAAATTTGCTGTATTTGTGAAAATGGATTATTATTAATATATTTCATATCAACCTCGTTACGGTTCCTCTCTTAAACTATAGTTGGAAACAAAAGAAATGGATGTCGCTGCTCGTATGTGTTGGTCTCTTTAGATCTGTTTCTTTGGTGAAGAGTCGATAAATGTTTACAACATTATCGTATATTTCGGAATGTCCCTCAGTATTCGCCTGGCGATACTGTGAGCTACGGTTCGTTTATGCTCGGCCATCCCTCACCCTCAGGACGAGAGTGGTGCGAGCACCGAGCGGATAACGGGATTTAGCGACCAGCGGGTTGATTCATCAGGATCGATTTATTATAGTAGTGCACGCGGGGATAAAAGACGGGATGATATGTGTGGGACAAGAAGTCGGGAGATGCTATCACATTGGCCAATCCCGATATCGAATTCTTTTGCCAAAAGCTAATTGCTAATTTAACTGATTGTTCAAAGTCTACTCGCTAAATTGGATAATGTTTCGTTTATCTTACTAATATTTATTATTGCTGTTGCAGAGAGTCTCAAAATTTACACGAAACAATAAATAGTTTGATAAACCGTTAAAATGTAATGAACTATATAATAACTCTAATAATTTAATAATACAGTATATAATGCGCTCTAAACAACGAGTATAATACTGTATAATACAATACTGTACATTAATTATGATAATGTCATTATCATAATGTTCTAATCCCCTCTTATTTACTGATTATCTCCTTCACGTTCATCTACATTCGATTGCACATCATTATACATATTGGCAGGATTTGCTTGCATATATTTATATCAATAACAAAGTATTGGTAACAAAGTTATAAATCATGTACACAGAGATAAATAAGAAATTTTGTCAAATAAAACTCGTAAACTAATGGCACGAGAAACAAACAAAAATAGTCTCTTCTACTTACGTTAAACATGTTGAATTATTTGGTTCGAATGTGACTCGGCTCTAGTTGAGCTTTAGCGTCTCGACCAAAGTGACGACGTAGTAGCAGACGTAGTAACCACCTCGTTTCTGTAAGACTCCCAGTGTTCCAATCCTATTGTTTTGAGAAGATACATGGATTTGGGGTTTGCAAACTCCATTACTGGAAACCGGATTGGGGGATGCTTTTCGAAAGGGTTTTTACAGAAATGGAAAGGAAAACCGGAAAAAAGGTTGACGGAACGGCCGGAAACGGGGCAATGAAACGAAATTAACCCGATTGACCCGATTTCGTTCACTTGACTTTCCGATTCCGTTTCGGTAATTTTTGTAATTTGATCAACTACCATATTGTTATTTTTACACGAGAGATAAAAACACTCTAAAAATCCATCAGTGGATTATCATTGAAAACAGTGAATAGTCACTAATTTGCAGTTATAAGTATACCACTGAAAAT